AAATACTCAACCTTAACAGCTTTTTTTTTTTTTTTTTTTTAAACTGATGTCAAAAATAGAAACTTGGTTTATTTTTCTCAGCTTATATTCATTTTTCTTTGAATTGTAACTTTTTGAGGCACTGGTGAAAATATTTGAAATGTGTTTGTCACAAAATCACATTTACCAAAGGTGGCACTGGCAAGTTGACTTTGAGGTTATTAAAACATTCTTTACAAATGAGCTTAGTATTTGGTCATCCTTGAAGAGTTTAACCTTTAAGATGCATGATAAAGTGACATTTGGAGGCATTTCTTCAATACCGCTTAAAGGTAAACAATCACTTTTTATACACTGGAAGCGAACAAAGCAGCTAGTCTTTCTAGTTGCAACTGTAATATTCATCCTAAATATTATCTCTCTTCAGCAGCAGTGGACTGTTGGACCCTTGACGGTACTGAATGTTTTCCCTGCAGGCAAGATGTTGCTTCTTTTGGTTTCTCTCCTGTGATTGAGCTCTTTTTTGTTGCAGATTTCACCTCTCGCAACTTGGCTAAATTGCTTTGCTCTAGATAAATTGCCCAAACAGTGATATTGTATTCCTGTTCTCAGCTGACAAGAGCAGCCGCCCCGATGTCATGGTCTGTTGCTGGAGCCCATCTGCTGTAAGGATTACAGATGGTATATCTGCATATATTTTGTAAGTACAATTTTATTTGTACAGTACCTTTCAAGATGAAAATCACAAAGTGCTTCAACAAACACAGAAAAACAAAAAAAAAAAAAATACACAAAGCAAAAACAAAATCGGATTTAAAAAGATGTGTTTGGCTGGCAGAGAAACGACTTCCTTTGAAGGGAGTTCCAGACTTTGAGAGCAACAGAAGAGAAAAGCTCTGTCTGCTTGGTAGTGGTAAAGTTTTATTTGAGCTTCTGTTGCCTTTCTATCACCTCATACTAGTTTCCCCATTCTCCTTTAACCTCTGAACTTGAAAAGGCACTTTTATGCACGCGACTGTCGCTCACTGGATGTTTCCTCTGTTTTGTGCTGCTCTCTGTAAACCTTAGAGAACAAAGGCCTGATGGAGCAGCAAAAGTTTCTGAAATACCATAACACAACAACGCCATTTTCAAAGTCTCCATTTGATGGGTGGTTTGAACTTCAGCAAGTCTTCACCACGTCTAGATGTCTTAAGTGCGTTATTTTGCTGCTATGAGTTTGGCAGCGTTGCATTAAGTAACAACTCTTAGAGCAGCAGAGTTGTTCTAAGGCAACAGAACAAATCTTAGGCATTATGGTGCCTAATAATGCAATAATAGTACAAATCACACAAAACAACTCGCATGTATAGTGTGAGCTCCATATTTGGATGTACGATTAAGCCTAAGGTTCTGCATGTTGTTCCCACCACTCTATGCTCAAATGTATTCACAGTACTCATAAGATGATTTCACAAATACCAGCTAAGGGCAGGGCAGAGGGTGGTCCACTACCCCCAGCCATGAGCTGGGACTTTAGGTTCAGATGACCAGCTACTAGATTCTTGTTCCAGTTCCACTGTAAGGTCAATGTAGCCACCAATATATCATGTGACACTACTGTGGCATGAGTTCTCTGCAACTCCTTGCAGACATCCCAGATGGAAAGACAGTCTCCTAACAAGTCTCTCCACCAAAAAAATAAATAATTCAGTCATTCAGCCTCCTTTATTCCCTAGAAGAAAAATACTAATATTAGGATTTATTAATGGTGTTCCAACAATGAATATGTCTGACCTATAAAGGAAATGCACTCACCTCAACTGGCGTTCCAGTATAAGAATTTCTAGGTCCGCTTTCTTGATTTGGCGGTCCAAATACATGATTTCTTTATCTGTTTTCTCAATAGTCTTAAGGAGATGGTGCCTGTATAACTCTGCAATTCTGCAAAAATGCAGAATAAACACAAGTCTTTACTATTAAGAACCCACTGTGTGGAGCCGTGGTGTGGAGGTCGGAGGAATCCCGTCCTGGTAGTGGCCAGCCTTTCTCTGTCAAAGGACAACAATGTACGACTCGTAAAAGAATCTACCGATAGTAGGAAGAATACTAGTATCTACTTCGGTATGAATCTCGGCTTCCTCCTTGGTGGCAGCAGACAGAACATCATCCTCCTGCGATGTGAGGAAGAAATCATGTTTCAGTAACCTTTAACCCCATGAAGCAAAAGCAGTGTGTAGTGTACTTACGACTGCAGGCTCTTCGCCTGTTGCAGCGGCTGAAGGCTCAGCAACGTAAACGACACCATCTGTAACTGTTGGGAAGAGAAAGGTGGATGAATAACCACATTTAACTGCATGTGCGGCTAAATATATGTGGTTGTGTAGTCCTAGCTCTGACGTGGGTACCTGTGTCTTGGTTGGCATCCGGTTCAGGTGAGCTGTCTGCAGAGATGCCTTCGGAAACGGGTCTGGGGGAGCTTTGGGTGATGGCCAGCCCCTCCGCCTCCGTCAGGGGTGGGATTAGTAGCTCAGTGTCGATTTTTCGGGCCGCAGCCCGTTTTCTGTTGGCTGAATGCAGCTCAGAGTGAATCGTTTTAAGAAATTATACGGGTATCTGCAAATTAATGGCTCCGACATTAATATGTACCATTTTAAAACTGCGTCAAATTATAACAAGCAATATACTGGATGTTAAATGTGCATTACAAGTTTTTTTTTACAAATTAAAACATGGCTTGAAATCAGACATTGAAATTTTTTTTTTCCCAATTCTTCTTTGAAAGGCTGCAAATAATTATTTTATTTATCAATTATTCTATCATTTATTATGATGTAGAAATACATTAAACAATGCTAATAAGCAAATAATTCAATTACTTTTTAGGATAAGGAGATGACTTTATAGCCTAAAATGCAATAACAGCATTCCTTTAGCATATGTTTGATCATTTGTAGGAAAAGATGCATCTGAAGCTAAAAAAGAATAATCTATCGATTATTTTTTGATACTTGGACAGCACAAAATACAGTTTTGGCTGAATTACTTCACTGAATATGTTGTTCTTTCAGNAAATTACCTTTTTTTAAGTTTGTGTGCTCCAGTTAACAATTAATCGATTATTATTATAGTTGACAATTATTTCAGTANATGATTAATCATGATTGTTTTCATACTTCTATGCAAACTATTTTTTAATGTTTCATTCTGAGATCAAACACACAGATGGACTCTAATAATTAGCAGACCTCTGAGGGTCATTTGCTGCACTGGATTTTATTTATCGGGGTAAAGGAAGTTGAGAACAGAAATTCACACAGCACCTTTGAAATTTTTATTTATAAAACATTTTTGAAAACCCTGAATCATTTTTCTTTCATTTCACAATCCCAATAAAACACATTGAGAAAATGCTACTTCTGCAAGTCACTGTATGTTAAGTATTATAATGAGGGAAAGAATTAGTCTATAACATGTTGAATTAACTACTGAATTATAGCCATATTCGTTCATGTCTTAGCTTTCTGAATCATATTTTTATACTTCATTTTCAGTTGCATCCAAGTCCGTTTTTCCCCTGAGTTACACCTAAATGAAAACCAAATTTTAACCAATATACCACTTTTTTCTCACTTATCTACCACATTTTTTTTTTCATACAGATAAATGGCGTGGTGCATTCCGACGCATTGACTCGGGCAGCAATGCTCTTCCATGCAGCCTGTCTCGCTGTAGCTGCTGCTGCCTTGTTGCTCTTTTTACTAAATATGTGAGCATGCTCTTCATAAGCCTGAAGGAGGACCCTCTGCTCTAGCGGCGTGAAATAAGTCGATCTCTTTTAGGAGCTGTTGGTGTGTTCACTGAAGGCATCCGCAGGAAGGCTTTGGATGGCGCTGGTGCTCGCGCTTGCTTCCAGGTGAACCAACTCCGAGTCCACTGAACTCATGGAAACCAGCGGTTCTGATACCGAAGAGCCTGGGTTTTCCCACTCGGAGTAAGCTAACTCGGAATTCGCAGGCTGACCCAGAGTTTGTTGAATTTTTTTCCCCCATACTCCTATTGTCCTTCAAATTTAACGTAGTGCGTTCGTCATTTTTACGTTCTCGCCACCATAGATATACAAGAGTAGACGCTCACCTTATGTCGTGTGCGGAAGATTCTAGATAGGCAGGAAAATGCATGTTTTCGTTTTTTTGAAAGAAAATGGAGGGAATAATCGAGCCGAAATGAACAGTGTGAAAATCTAAATATGATAGGAAAAATATATTCCATAACTTCCATGAATTTTATTGGGATTACATGTGAAATATAGACCTAAGGAGCTAGTAAAGAAGATGGGAAGGAGGAGAAAGAATTAATTTTTCTTACTTACAAACAGAGTGTAGTACATTTATGTTTACTTGCGTATTTCTACATAAAATCCAGTCACTTAATTAGTAAACATTCCACCTGGATATATTTAAACCTGATTAAATACAATTGTTTAGTCCAGCCATTGTTGAAAAGTCCTGTTTACAGTTTACCATAAGTGTGGGGACATGACACACTTGTGGAAAAAGTGCATCAGTGAAATGCAAGCAAAATCAAACCTGCAGCAAATAAAAAAAAACATCACCCTCATACTGAACCATAGTAGTGGTGGTGGCAGCATCATGCTGTAGTAATGCTCTTCACCAGCAGGGAATGGGGACATCAAGGCTTTTCTTGTAAGTTCTGCAAAAAAGCATTTTACAGGCTGCAAAAATAAACTGGGCCAGTTGGGCCATCTTACAGTAGGATAAACCTAACTGTACAGGCAGAGCTACAATGGAATGGTTTTCTGTTTTTTACTTGGAAAATTAAAACTTTAAAATTAGTGTTTCCTTTCGCTATACAAATATGCGCTACCTTCTGTTGATCCATCAGAAATATAGTATTTTACAGTAACCCAGCTTTAACAATGTAGCCCTTTCTAACAGAAAAAATATATATGCCACTCAAAATATGGCGGCAACGTTAGCGCACAAACCTGACGCTCATGCTGCGTCTACTTTGCGATGTCTATGCTCGCTATGACGCACGTCTGTTGGTAGTAAAGGAAAAAGGAGAACCAGTCCAGTTAACCTGACCTGCCGTCTCTGTCTACATAAAATTCGCGTTTGCTTTACAAAATGTTTCGCCGATATATACACACGGATTTAAGTTAACAACCAAACATGTCGGTTTGTTCGTCGTCAGCCCGCGAATATATTCAGCTGGTAAAACTGACCTAGGAACCGCGGTAAAGAATGCCTTTGTTGCTACGCTAGCTAGCTGGACTTAGCTTCAGGATGGACAGCTGAGTGCTATCAGGAGTAACAAATAAATGTCCTGTAAATGAATCTTGAGAATACCGTCTCCTGAGTGTAAAGGGGGGGTTTGGGTGCCTTTTTTGCTACCTCCGAACCGCGTAGACGATGAAGAACTGCGAGTACCAGCAGATCGACCCACGGGCGCTCTCCGTTTCGCCGCTGTCGGCTCAAAACCCCGCCGAGAAGAAGGTGCAGCGCCCGCGGAGAAAATGGGAAGCTTTCCCGGGGAAAAACAGATTTTTCTGCGACGGACGGCTCATCCTGGCCAGACAGAACGGCGTCCTTCCTCTAACACTAGGCCTTATTGTTGTCACTAGTGGCCTTTTCTTTGCTTTCGAGTGAGTAACTTGTAGACTGCTGTACGACTATAAATAAAACACGAGAAGTTTTTTTTTTTTTTTTTTGTGTTGCTGTAATGAAACTTGTTTTATTTCCAACAGTTGCCCCTTCCTGGTGGAGCATCTGACCGTCTGTATACCTGTGATAGGAGGGGTGCTCTTCTTGTTTGTGGTCGCCTCCTTGCTAAGAACCAGCTTTACAGATCCAGGCATTTTACCCAGAGCCACGGCAGACGAAGCCGCAGACATAGAGAGGCAGATAGGTAAGACCCCCCGCTTGAACATATGGCAAAAAGAACTTTGCCATATGGAGGACACGTTTGTTGTGGAAACATAGACAAAGACCTAAGCAGCTTACTGCGCCGTGTCATGGCAGGAGGAGCCTATAGCTGCACACACACACCTTGATCTGATCGTGCCGGAGGACACGTGTTGTTAAAATGTCACATCTTTTATTCACAGATACCTCAGGATCCTCAACATATCGCCCGCCTCCTCGAACCAAGGAGATCCTCATCAACCAGCAGGTGGTAAAGCTCAAGTACTGCTTCACTTGCAAGATGTTCCGGCCTCCACGGACCTCCCACTGCAGTCTGTGTGACAACTGTGTTGGTAAGAATAGTTTTGGAGGATCACCACTTATTCTTTTGCTTTATAAAAAAAAAAAAAATAATAAACTAACTCACTTGTTGCCTAAAGTCTTAGGTCATCATTGAAAAGTTTGGGACTGCCTATATGTTTTTACCAGAATGAAATCGGTTTTATCACTCTCATTAAATCCAAATCATCCCTGTTGCTGTTAACCATTTGCTTTCAAGAGAACTGGTGTAGAGGTCACTTCCCCAGCAGAGTGGGGAAATTTTAGCTGTGCATTTCACAAACTGATTTTTTTTTTTTTTTTAGTGACCAAGTTACAGGAAGTGACTGTGTCCTATGTTGTGTACAGCAAAACCCCACCAGCCTCTGCTCATCACAAGACTCGACTCTTAACTGTTGTCACTTTCCATCCTACTGTATGCCATCGGTGACCATCTAGTGATTAGTGATTCAATTATGGATTATTTTGTTGCTGGATTTCAGTTTTCTGATTTGCAAAGTTGTGGCTTCAAAACTCAGATTTTTTTTCCCCTGTAAGCTATAAGTAACAATAAATCTTTAAGATTTATGAGGAAAAAGCTCAGATTTACCGTTTTATGTTGCACTGTTAAATCACTCATCTGTACAGAGGAACAGTTCTTTGATCATTGGTTAATTGATGACATGGTACTGCATATGTGAGAGAGACGAGTCCGTTACACAGCTCTGCAGTCAGATAAGATTTTACCATTTAAAGCAAAGAAAACATACTTACAGTCTTAGATTTGTATGAGCAAATATAGTGGTAAACAGCGCCCTCTGTGGGGCACCGCTAAACCAAACTCTAATCAATATGGACTGAGATTTTCTAAAACCATCATTTCTTCTTATGAAGATGTGATGGTTCTTAACAGGATAAAATAGAGCAACTTTCCTGTAATGTATTCACCTTAACTGCAGTGTATCGGTAGCATAAATGATCAGTTGGACTGCTTCTGCAGAAAATAGTTTCCTTTTAGGCGTTTGTTCCTCATTTTGTATTTTTTGTGGTTTCTCACCGATACTGAAAATATGAGTCTTCTTTCCTCAGTAACAACTTCCACACTAAAAAAAAAAAAGTCATAATTAGCATGTTTTCCAGATGATGGTTCATTTAAGAGTTTTACTTCCCAGCATTTTCTTTTTTTTTTCTTTTTTGTTGTTGATCTCTTTACGAGCTACTGCCGATATTTGACATATTTTCCATTTTTCTGTTCCTTCAGAGCGATTTGATCACCACTGCCCATGGGTGGGGAACTGTGTCGGGAAACGCAACTACCGCTATTTCTACAGCTTCATCATCTCTCTGTCTTTCCTGACATCTTTTATATTTGCCTGCGTCATCACACATATCACCCTCCGTAAGTGGCCACATCGCTAAAAGGAAGGAGATGGATCATTTGTCATGAGCCAAGATTAGTTTTCAGATTTTTTTCCTTTTTTTTTTTCTTTTCTTTACAGGTTCTCAAGCAAAGAAAGGCATCGTTCAAGCCGTTCAGGAGAGTCCTGCAAGATATCCTTTGTATAGTCTTTTTTTATTATTATTATTTTAAAATGTTAGTGGGCTGAGTCAGATCTGACTAAATTTGGTGCCAATTTGGCATTTACCGGAGCACTTAATGCTGCGCTCTCTTTTTAGAAGCAGCCTGCCCAGCAAAAGTGCTTTTAAACAGAAGATTTGGTGTTTTATGGCTGTTTGAGATGATTTTAGTGAAAAATAATATACATTTCCAGGTAATTGAGATTCAGTTTTGATTATTTTATCTACTACAAGCAGGAGTGAGTTTATGTTTGTCTGCTTGCCTTTTCAATTTTATCTAATTAAATGATAGTACATTTGAATATTATTCAACTTTTTTTTATTCCAGTAAGTGAATCCCATATATCGTCCTAATATAATATGTTCCTGAAATTAACTTTTTTCATGATATTCTTATTTATTAACATTAATCTGTGTAAAAGCTGATGAGCTGCCTTGATCAAAGTCTTCTCCCAGCTTGTGTAGAGATGAGTGTGAGATCTAATACTCGCCCTTTGTGACTGGTGCCATGTATGTTAACATTTTTGCCTTGACTCTTCCCTGTGCACTGTGGTGGAATTGGTGATTTGCTTTTTCTCCATCTGGTCTATTTTGGGCCTCTCAGGCTTCCACACCTACTTAGTAGCCTCCAATCTCACCACGAATGAAGACGTGAGTATTCCAGTCTGTAAATTGACGGCGCTGGGTTGGGCTGAGGCGTTTATTACTTGCTGATCGGTGTGCTGATCAACAGATCAAGGGGTCGTGGTCGGGTAAGCGGGGAGCGGAGGAGTCCGGAAACCCCTACACTTACAGCAACATCATCACCAACTGCTGTGCTACGTTATGCGGCCCAATGCCTCCCAGGTGCGTAATTATTTGTCACGCTTTCAATCCCTCTCCTTGTTCGAACCGCGTGTCACGGTCCGCTTTGTTTCCAGCCTGATTGATCGAAGAGGGTTCCTCCCTCCCGACGAGGCGGTCCCGGCCGCCGCGGCCTCAGAGATGGAGCTGCCTCCCTTCACGCCCAAGAGCGATGCGAACATGGTATGATGAAAGCGCTTGCGGTCCCTCCCTGCCTCCCTTCTTGTTGCTGTGTGGTTGTTAGCCCCTCCCACCCTGTGCGTCCCCCTCCGTCAACCTCCAGACCTCCAGCTTCAGTCCTTCGATTAGCGTCAACCACCAGCAGTTACATTTCTGCTACCGTTGTTAAGAACTTTGCACCATGATTGTTTTTTTTTTTTTTTTTTTCTTTCTGTTGTTGAAAAACGAGCGTCTCAACGAAACATCACCAGAGTTCGGTTGAAATAACTGATCACATCAGGTTCAAGTTTTCAAAGTAGAGGTGATCAGATTAGTGCAACTGGACGTGAGCAGAGAACTTTTTAGTTTGACTTTTTACAACTGAGACTGAAATCATCTGTTAAGATTAAAGTTGAGCTGGCCGACGGTCAGACTGCAGCAACTATGTTAACTGGACAGTAAACGCCTTGTTTCTCTTTAAGTTTTTGTTTTTATTTATTTGCCTTAACGAACATGTTTCTCTGCCATGCTCCATGTTGTTAAACTACTGACTTTATTTTTGCATGTTTTTATAGGAATATTCTACCAGTTTTCATTATCAGGGCCTTTAAGTGGACATCTGTTGGGTTATCAGCACTTTATTAGGAATCATTACTCGTATGCCTGAAGTACATTTCTCTTTGAGTATTTTCAGCATAACAAAATGTTTTATTATTTGCTTTGTCCATTGCTTTATTTTTATGTCATGATCATAAAAATGAGTTGCTTTATTTGTTAAATAAATGTTATTTTTGTATTTTGAGTTTTGGTCTGCTTTGAGTTTAGTCTTGTTTTTGAACATTTTACACTTGAAGCTGTTTTTAACCTTTCATCAGGAGCCTGCTCTTCAAAACCGATTCAGATACACATTTTGTATACCTTTTACTTAGAGTTATGGTAAAAAAGAAAGTACACCCCTTTCAAATTGTTGTTTTCCTGTATGTTGTACACTTTGAATCAGAAGTTTGCACACCCTCATTTTTAGCTTGCATGTCTTATTAGAAATTGTTTGTTGGATTTCTAATAAGTGACAATATGTTGAATCATCACGTCATGCAACGTAAAAGTTGTCCAAAATTGCAATTGCAACAAACTGCTTAGATGTAATATTTGGTTGAATATTATCTCAGGCTCTGCTTGCAGTTTTTACCAATTAGAGGGACTTCCTTTCTGTCCTTGCCTGATCTAGATCTTACTTCAACGCTTGAAATGACAGACGATTGAGGAAATAATATTTACGACTTCTGGTTTTCTCTTTCTTTTTTCACCACTACTTCTAATTACAGCTTTATGTTCCCCAGAGGGGAATAATTTGTTATTCCAAAGACGATTAAAACTACACACACAGACTCACGTGTACTTGCACCCCCACTGATCAGTAGATAAATGTCTGTTTGCAGACACCAGGGTAGGAACAAACTTTTTCACTGGGCCAGTTATCAGAAAGGGCAAAGTTCATATAAATTGTTTTCCTGGCACATAAGCAGTTTTTCACTGTGGCTCAAAATGGAGCCATTTTAAACTTGATGTTAGCCTGTCTTATTTATTATGATGTTGCTCACCTCATTAGCTTGAAAGCGTCACCTCAACTCATCGTTTTTATTTTGTGTAAGCTTCAAAAGTTCTCCTGAAGACTTTCCAGATCCTCCTTGGGGGCAGCTGCTGAATATTGGAAGGTGTCAGTTTTGGAGCAGAGTCTCTACTTGTTTGGTCAACAACTTCTCAGTCTATCATGGTGTTAGTCTGTGGGTGAGAGTTTGAACTCTGGACACAGTGATCCTAAACACACCAAAACTATTTTAGCAACGTATAAAGCAAGGCAACATAAAACTTAGAAAACGTATTAACAGCCCGTTAAGGCTGGATCTGTGGCAGAAAACATTTTAATCAAACTGTCCAACTCTAAAGTCTATTTAAGTACGATGGAGTTGCATATATGAATTTGCACGCGTGTGGCTTAGAAAAACAAATTAGCATTAAATTTAAACTTAATTTTTAAGATTTGTGTTTTGAAATCTGCATCGTTCCTCTAGAAAAAGATAATTAAAAACCTCAAATCAATGTGAATTTCATTCAAATGAGTGTATGTCAACTTCTGACTTGAACTCAACATTTTAGGGTTATTTGGGCGTACGTATAATTCACAAACATTTCCATTGTGCCTTCTTTCACCTTTGATAATGACACAGTGGATTCTGAATTTAAGTACTTTCGTACATGAAATTTGAATGTATTTTAGGAGGCGGTGAATACTTGAACTGACACAGGGTGTACTTTCTTTCCTATTTTTTTTTATTTTTTTTTACCATGACTGTAACTGTGTGACACATGACAAATCTCACCCTCTGTGTTGTGTACTGTATCCGTTCCACCCTGCCAGGAGGAGAACTGTCAGGAATTTTCTTTGTCCTGCACAGCCTGAAGGTAAACAGTGCTGCAGGTAGACAGTCGATGGTAAGAGTAGGGCGTCGATGTCGAGCCAACCCCAACATCTCATCACTTTCCATTTTCTGCGTCAGCTCCTCTGTACCGCTTACATTCTGCTCTACTAACTATGCCAGATGCAGCCTGTGCAGATTTTGTGATGGGTGTCTGATGATGGTGTGGATCACTCATGGTTGTGGGTTTGCATGCTTCATCACAGCCAATCACGTTTGCCGTCATTAACGTTTGCTCGCTCACTCGCCTCACTCACTCGCTGCAGGATCAACCTTGCTCTTACGGCTGATGATCTAGCACAAACCACGTCTCTAGCAATGTTTTCTAAAAGGCAACAAAACTTAAATCTGTATGCACATGTAGTTTGAATCTTACCTCGTAAGGAGCATTTATTTATTTAGCTGCTTCACTAATCAGCTTGATTACTTTTTTTCCCCCCAATATATGAACAAAGACAACAAAACACATCGATCGATCCGAGATGTGCTCAGATCTGTTTTCTGTCCTGCTTATGTAGCTTTTTCTCTTCCAGAGCACAGATGTAGGTCACTTCTTTTCATGGATCCTGTTGAGTTTTGAACTGAAGGTTTCAGCTTCCAGTACATCTTTGTAATTAAAATATATATATATATATCTTCACTCCAATGGATATTATCACTTTATTCATAAGATTTCTTTAGAATAATAATAATAATAATAATAATAACTCTTAAATTTGATAATCTTAACTTTAATTATCTCAAACTTTTGAATGTGAATTCTTAAAAATACTGCTCCACCTCAGTAAATTAGAAATCATAGATTGGTTTATTTACTTTGGTAATTAATCTTTAAAAAATCTGCCTCAGATATGGATTTATTACTAATTATGATTGTTGCTTACAGCCAACGGAAACCCTAAATATTAGTCATTAAAACATTACATCACATAGGACCGATAAAATGACTAATCAATTTTTGATGTAGAAATGTTATGTTCACAGTCCCAATGAACGTTGATGTTTTGATAGTCGTCTAGCACACGTTGACACCCTCCGCTAGGGGCGTAAGTGACAAAATGTCATTCAGGAAGAAGTCGGCTGTTCACAGAGCTCTGCATCAAAGCATAGTAATGGGAAGTTAAGTGGAAGGAAAACGTTTGGTAGAAAAATCTGCACAAGCAAATCTCACTAAAGAGTTTGATGTAGTTCAGGGAGACACTGAAGATGATCTGTAGGATTTTTATGCTAAATTTTAAACGTGGGTTTTCATCAGCTTTAAGTCATGATCATCCATCAGAAAAAAAGTATTTAAAAATATAACTGTACTACGAATTCGTATCTATATATAACTTAGTTTCACTTTTTGAATTTAATTACTGAAATAAATTAAGTTTGGTTTAATTTACTGAGAGGCATCAATGAATTAAACTAATTTATTGTGTGTTTTTCTTACACTATTCACTACAAGCTCAAAAGTTTCACTGTCTTCTGATCACCACCACTAAACCTCATTTCAAAAATGTTTCAGAAATAGTGCTACTTGTTACACAGTATGTTCCGTCCTTCTCTTCCAGAGATATTTCGGAGGCCTAACATTAAATTTGCCTAAAGCCTCTTCAAGACATTGGTCGGAAGAAACCGAAACTAAAATAGTTTCTTTGTATTTCCGCCTAAGTCCAGCAGAAACACAAAGTAACTGTTCAAATAGTTACATTGACACTAATTTAAGATAAAGATTTCTGCAGTTTAGATAACTTTCCAATTCTCTGGGATCATGGCTTGTGCATGGTTGCCCTCTAATGTCACTCCATACGTTCAATTCACTTCCTCCATTGCTTCTTCACGTGCGTCCTTTTTGCAAGCCTTGCCCCGAGGCTTTGTCTCGCTGCTCTCGCCGTGAAGAAGGTTTCCAAATGAATCCTGCTTGATTCGAACTCTTTCCTGTTCAAAGTCTGCCTTTGTTCTTGATTTGCCCTGTTTATCTTTCTCCACACAGTGCACTCAGAGCACGAAGGACGTGCTGGAGAGGATGCTCCACTCCTCTGACTTTCATGGCCTGTGCCCTTCAGGGAACCCCAAGACCTCGCCGCTGGTCCAGGAGGTTTCCAGCAGCGCCCCAGCAACCGCAGAGCCCTCCCTCTCCTCCGGCTGCTCACGGCAGCTCGCCCGCCAGGCTGTGGTTGACCCTTGCCCCCTGTTGCCCCCTGTCGCTTTCAGCAAAAGCAACAGGAGAGACTCGCTGCACTCGATCAACCCGGCCTTCCGCCTGGCTTCTCCCTCGCCCACGCTAAGCCGCAGGGCGCTGGTTCTGGGCGACGGGCCTGACATTGGTTTCATCCCTCAACATTAAGGGCGCTTTGGTCACAATCAGGGCAGACATGGAGTCATGGTGGGGACTGTGCGCTCCTCAGGCTGCACACATCGCTGCTGTTTATTGTCAGGCAGTGGTTTTGGACACAAAGACACTTAGTCAGAGACTCGGTGCATGTTGGAATTTGGTGTCGCAAAAATGTCCTGGTGAGGGATTACGGTTAATTTAAGTCACTAGTGTCCAGTTGTACACATCCTTCAAAATGGAGGGGAATCTTAGTAACACTTGAGAGCACAATATAGAGATATTTTTTCACATCTTTTTTAGGACGCTTGAAATGTCCCAGCAATCCTTCTGCTGATAACCTCAGTGTTTCAGTTCTAACATAATATGCAAACATGAGTTTGGATGTTTTGTGTATAAGAAGCCAGAAACAAATGTTGGACTTTGCTCAGTTTTCCAGAGAATGAACCATTTTAACAACAAAAAGCCTCACGCATCGTCATCTACATTGTCCCATCTATGTTTGAAGGGTTGGTTATAGACGGACAAGGATTTCATACTTGTTGGAATTTTGCAAATCCTTTTGCAAGAAACAAAAGGTTTTGGAAAAGGTTTTCCTTTAAAAGTTACATTTTATCGTTTTTTTTTTTTCCCTTCTGTGTCCTTGGGCTCAGTACATAAAGAAGCTAAACCTGGACAATGATGTTAAAATTGTTCAGATGTCCCATGTGGAACAGGATGAAATGTTTTAGTAATTCTTTAGTAATTCTTTGTTTCCTCTGTGTCTAAACATTTAAAAATTGGACGGGAAAACAAAGCATTTGAATCATCTTTGCAACTTTTTTTTTTTTTTGGAACTCATTCGGAAGTATTTGTTGCTGACATGATGTTTAGTGTTTTCTGTCTTCACGCGTTTTTATCGGTTTTGCCTGCAGCACATATCATATCCGACGATTTCAACACAAAACCTGAAACTGTCATATTAATACACAGCTTTATGCAGGAGGTGGAGAGCACCACTAGGGGGCAGGATGTGAACAGCAAATTCAGCTCAATCTTTATTTAGTAATGTGGACATCAATAGGGCAAATGCCTTTTTCACTTTATTTACTTATATATTTTTTTGTATTTGAGCTTTCAACGTGTCCATCTGTGGTGAGTTTGTGAGGATTCACTTTGGCGTAGCTCATGAATCAGTCTGCAGCGAGGCCTGTAGGTTGCGTAGACGGTTACAAGCAGTGCTTGTACGAACAAACTTGTTTGTATTTTGCAGTGTAGCAGTACAACTGTATCATATGACCAATAAACATCCATGTTTGTTGAAGGTTTATTCGTTTCTAAAAAAAAAAATAAAATAAAAAAATCTGCTCCCAGTTACACAGTGATCAAAACAAATGGACAAAACCCGCACAGGAGGAAAGCGGGGTATCGAGCAGAGTTCATTCTTTAAGACCGATGCCTCGTGGAAACGGCGTGAAGGTGCATGCTGTCCACATGTGCTCAGAGTGTTTCTGTCAGATGTGGACAGTGTGAAGCACTAAATGCTCGACACAGATCCAAAGACCAGCAATGCATTCGACCTGGAAAGTCCTAGAACATAAAGTCATGATGTGCAGAAATACAAAGATGCATCCACCTGCTCCAGGATGCTGGAATGCAGGATGCAAACCAACCTCTCGCATGCCAGGATGAGTTATTTCCGTTTTGCGTTTTCTTCCTTGCCGAGCCAGTCGTATTTGTAAAGCTGCTGTTTACCTGCAGGCGTTTTAATAAAACCTATTTGCACTCAGTGTTGGGCTTATGGAGCAGGAAGAACAGAAAGAAGCAGATGTGTTTCACTCTAAATGACGTCTCGCATTTGGATTGAGATAAAAGATACCCACCTCTCAAGGTACTCTCTCAACATATTTCAGTCTGCTTTGAAACACGAAAAGAATAATGGATTGTTTTTCTACTCCTCTGAACACAGTAAATCATTTAACTTCAAAGGACTCAAGCATGTCAGCATGACAACCTGTGTATTTCAAGCAAACAAAACACAGATGGCCAAACCTTTGGCTCAACGTCTCGTCGAAAGAATAAAAGCCAAGTGTCGTCGCAACCTCAGCAGATGTGTCGGATCTTAAATGGAACCAGTCGTCGCGCAGGGGACCTCAGTTATGGTTTTAAAGGGGATGAGACAAAGATGAGTGTAAGGATCGTGTTTTACAAGGACAGAGACCAGTTACGAGGGCTTTTGAAGCGGGTTGATCTGAAGGCAGTCTTGACTCAAAGATGGCCAGTTCTTATTGGCTGCTGCAGATTATTTTTTAAGAAAGAAAGAAAAAAAAATACTAATAAGCACATTTGAGCACATTTATTGACTGGAAACATTGTTTTATGCGGAATCCCTGATGCCTCATTGGCACCCCATCTATTCCTAAAAAATAAGAGGAGAAATTAAAGCTTTGAATGACATTGGTGAGTGAACAGGATGCAAGATAAAAATCTTTCTAAGAAAAATTTTCAAAATATAAACATGAATAAACATGACACTTATAGCAATAACTACAGCGAGCGCATTAGATAAAAATGTTTAAAACGATTGGAGCTTTTAGCAACATTTCTGAACGCACAATTGAGTTTATCCTGTTGCCACAGAAGATGGCAAAGTCTTCAAAGCTTTGTTAAAGAACTGAGTTTATTTAGTGGTTATCAGGTCTCCATAGTGAGAGTTAGATGCTGGCTACTTGACAATGTTTGAAGACATGCAAAACCCCCCCCAAAAAACAAAACAGTTTTCTCTCCTTCCATCAAATGTAAATAGTTGGCTGGTTACTACTGGAAAGCCCTGTGTTTACGCTACATGAGATTAAGACTGATTATTTTAGTGATAATCGCTTCAGGTGGTTTTGGCTGTAAAGCAAAATCAGTTTGTGGAGAAGCTGTTAGAGATGGTGAGGGATCTGTGGTGCTGTGGGCTTGTTCTCCTCCAAAGGCCCAAGAAACTTTGTCTGGAGATTTTAAAGACAGATCCTAAGGACTCTAGCAATAAGCTAAAAATGGCTCATCATTGTGTATTTCAGCAGATTAGTGATGCAAAGCAAATTAACTCAGAAATGGACGATCAGACACAAGCTCACACTGTCTTCATGACAATATCTGCCCTGTGGAGAACCTGTTGTTGAACTGACGAGATCATGTGACATGAACCAGGACTCTGGACAGTGTTACATGAAGAATGATGAAAGACCATTATCATTAAAGACCATTATCTCTGTATGTTGCAGCTTTGGGAAATATTTTTCAGAGACGGATGTTCTGTTGGCAAAAGATGTTTGTTCCAAATATTGGAAATATTAAGATTTCATGGTGAAATATATTTCTGGAAAAGTGATATGTTTTTCCTAAAGTGTGCTCCACTCAAAAGGCTGGGATTTTTCTGGTAATTTATTGTGAGGTCACGCCATCCCTTCGCCACCGGCCGCCGTCCACCACATGCATGACTCACTGCACCTCTTTCCTCTTACCCCAGACCTGTTGGGCTCTGCTGTCATGTGTGCAGCCGTGTGTGTCACAGCCTCACAAGCCTTTTTCTCATGGCTCTCTGGTCTGAGCCGAGCCGAGCAGAAGTGAAGTGAAGCTCTTCACTGAACCAAACAGGTGACTCAGAGTCAGAGCTTGCTGTCAGCATCACTGCTGTGCTAAAAGCGTGTCTCTCTGCTGGGGCAGCGGGGCTGGATATAATTAACCCTGTGCTGAGCTGAACAAACTGGCATGCCGAGTGTCGCCACTGAAGCCAAGTAGTGAAATGTCAACTTGGTGGCCAAAGATTTCACAGTTCTTCAACTTTGTCGTATTTCGTCAGCAACAAATAGTTTGGTGTTTTTGATCTGGATTATCTGTGACAGACCAACACAAAGTAGTGCATAAATGTACATTAGAAACGTATGTACTGCTTTTTTAAAACATTTTTTTTTAAACACAATAAATCTGAAAAGTGTGGCAGGTATTTTTGTTTCCACTCCAGTCCCTCTTAAACTGTTCCCTCTTTTAAAATTTTCATATGTAAAATACTTAGTGGACCAGGAAACATCATTTTTGCACTTTGCAATTATGCTCTGTACATGTTGGAGATTCATTACATAAAATTCCCATTGAAGTGTGTGACATGACAAAATCAAAAAGGTGTGGAAATGTTCAGCATTCCAGAACTGAGTTTGATGAAACAAGCCCTGCTACGCTTAGATGTGCTGCATTTCTATTTTGCCTGACAAAACCCACTAAAAACCTTTAAAACATGCCAAAGTTCTGCAGCACTCGCCTCTTGAAGCTGATGGAAAAAACACAGGAAAAAAGTCCTCGCCAACCAAAAAACGGCTGCAGAGCGTGCGTGTTCACGCACGCGACGAGTTTGCTCTGTACTGATCTGCATATTTGTACAATGCTTTT